AGCCTAAATGTCCATCAACAAATGACTGAATAAAGAAGATGTGGTATATTTATATATTGGAATACTATTCAGCCATAAAAACCAACAACATAACGCCATTTGCAGCAACATGAATGTTCCTGGAAAATGTCGTTCTAAGTGAAGTAAGCCAGAAAGAGAAAGAGAAATACCATATGAGATCGCTCCTATGTGGAATCTAAAAAAATAAATAAATAAATAAATACAAAACAGAAACAGACCCATAGACATAGAATACAAATTTGTGGTTGCCAAGGGGGCAGTGGGTGGGAAGGGACAGACTGGGATTTCAAAATGTAGACTAGATAAACAAAATTATACTGTATAGCACAGGGCAATATATACAAGATCTTATGGTAGCTCACGGAGAAAAAAAATGTGACAATGAATATATAAATGTTCATGTATAACTGAAAAATTGTGCTCTACACTGGAATTTGACACAACATTGTAAAATGACTATAACTCAATAAAAAATGTAAAAAAAAACTCTATCTCATTCTAAAAAATAATATCCACTTTATTTAATGAACATTTGGTACTAAACAATTATGAAACTTTTGAAGAGGTTACTCGTCTAAATAGTTACTTATTAGCACCAGTAAAAATAAATAAATAGAAATATTAGCTAACTGTAATAAACTTTATTCACAACATATGGCAACATGACAAAATAGGTTTTATTCTAGAAAAGAATAATAATTTTATCCAAAGAAAATCTATAAATGCAATCAGACGTCTCAGTGCTGCCATATGAGTATTGTCCTTGATTAAGGAGCAGTTAGAAGAGGCAGTCCAACTCCTGACAGTCTTTGCCACTTATCCATATCATTACTGTCCTGGATTTACCCTTGTTTTGTTATTAAAAAAAACAATATTTATGCCATACCATAATGTCATTTCCCAAGAATTTTTTAACAAATAATCTGACACATATAGTAAATGTGGAGATCATACCATGAGCTATTATTTGGCTCAAGGGGAAGGATCAATATGCTGATTTCAGGGATTATGGTTTTTTGGGAATATCTTAGGGGCATCCAGGGCACTTCTCCACTTTATCTTTAATCTATAAATAGAAAGGCTTCTCTCATTTAAAATTGCCTGCTTTAGCACTAAAAGGACAGAGAAGAGCTAAGGATTAAAAAATCAACAGTCTTTCAAGGAAAACCCGTCTTGTTCTTTTGGAGAATGATTACTTGTGTTCACAGGGTAGCTTAATACCAAAAAAAAAAAAAAGTAATAACCACCCTTTCTCATAGAACCTAGTAATAGCTAATTTGTATTAAGTAATATGACCTGCAAAGCCAATGAGCAAGTACATATTTCGGGTGCATTAACTGATCAATTTGGTTCATTAGAATTCTAGAATAGCCCTTAATAAAACAGTTATAAAGTAATAGAGAGGGCAATTAATGCCGAGATGCCACAGGGAATCTTGAAGTGTGATGTCTGGCACTGAATGAGAGCACACTGACGTTGGCAGATACATTGCGAAGCATGGTCATGATATCCAAAACTTCAATTTCCCTCTTCCACACTGCATTAAGGTATGATAAATTTCAATAAAAGCATCAAGTACCTTTCTAGATGTTTGCTATTCTGGATGTTCTTGGATATTATTTTATTCATGTGGTTTCTTTTCTATCTAAGTCACTTTTTTAGTCCTCTTTGCTTCCATCTGCTCAGTTAGTCCTATTTGTCTCCTCTGTAACAGTTACTCTATTAGATATCATTCCTTATGCTCAAAATACACTAAGCTTAAATTTTTTGCTTTCAATCATACCTGCATTTTCCATCAGAGTCCTGAAAAAAAAAATAAGAAGCAACAAAAATCCTTAACTTTTTTAGCTACTTTAACAAATCATTTAATGTATTAGGCAAGTCTTGGCAAATAAATCAGTCTGCTATGCTTGCAGAAGCAACAAAATGTGTCAAAAGATGCAATCAAATTTCTGCATGATTTAGCATCTAATAGAAAGGAAAAAAGGAAATGATAATTACTTTATGTATCAAATGAGAACTATCATGCTGAAATCTGAAGGAAATATTTGCAGAGAACATTCAGTTCAATAATATTCTTCAATTCAGTGGTTTAAGTTAAATTCTCTTTCTTGAGTGAGCAGAACCTTCATGGACTAAACATTACATTTAGTTCAGTGTGAAAACTGCATATTTAATTAACTTGGACTTGTTTTTACCTTCTTTCATATACTTACGTTATTCTACATGTATTAATTTTGCATTTGTCATAGTATTTTTGATTAAATACATTCCATAAACTGGAATGTAATAGGTAAATTAAAAGTGATCATTGACTACTCTTCTCTCTTCATTTATTGATAATGTTATGAGATTCTATGATTTCCTTTAACATTCACATATGATCTGGAAGAGAGGCTGAAATTTCTTAAAATAACTTTCAAATTATTTCTGTCCTAATGTAATTGCTCCTGAAAACGTAATGCCCTGCTAGTTTATTGATCATAGTTATAATGTGCTTTTTATATTCCTGCACTGTTGACTACCCTTCGTTGGTACATTAACTTACACCATTTAAAAGTCATTTTCTTTTCCCTTAACTCTGCACTAATAAAGTCTGACAAAGTTATGAGTTCTTCTTTAATATTCTTTCCTACCAAACATGATTACTGATACTGCAAAGTAGTTAAGTGGATGGGCTTGGGGATTAGACACATCTAGGTTCACATTTAAATACTGCCATTTTTAAATTTGGGAAGCTGAGTAGTTAAAATTCAGTTAAATGTCAAAGCAACCTATCACCTCACTTCGAAAATGATAATTGAGTACATCATTCTGTGTTTTAAGTGTTATATGTGTGATGTGTGAAAGATATTTAGCCTAGTTTTAGCTATAGTGAGTCTAACTGCTTTCTAGGTGATGCGGTAAGCCTTTGTTATTTTTGCATTTGGACATCTGAGTAATATAATAATTCTTGAATATTTTGAATGAACAAAGAATTAAAATCATCTATATACGGTATCTATTTTTTTGTCTTATGACTTTCTTTTCCTGTCATTCAGCTTTCCTTCAAAGGTTAAACAGTTCTTGGTGGTGGACAAGATAAAACAAAGTTTATCAAATGATTTGCTAAATGAAAAATACAGTATAAATTGCTCCTAATGTAAATTTTACTTCCAAATTATCATTTTGTATAGTAAGTCAAAAAGAAAAAAACATTAGTTAACTCCTATTCCTGTGACATTCAAAACATGGGATGTCTTTTAGTTTTCTCATGAAGACAGGTAATTGGGAAT